AAGAAAAAAGAAAAAATTCAACTTCAGAATTCATTAGATGTCTGCTATTCTTCGACTCTTCTATTCACTAGTGCCGCAACGTATGAAAACGACTAGACATTTATTTGTGGTTTTCTAGTTCCGATCACTAACAGATTCTATCACTGATTATATCAGCCAACCTTTACTGTTTGTTTTTATGACCAAACCGCTAAAAATAACCTTTCGAAATCAACGTTTTTTTGAACGTGATGATTGATTACAAATCGCAGTACTGCTTGCACGCGCGCCGCCACGTCTGGATCTGATGGCGAACTTACCTGCGGGGCGTCAAGGTACTAAAACGGTAAGTCATGCCAAATAGGCATGCTTAATGCCCACCAATGGTAAGTAACAAAAGCCACAAATCAATCACAGTGCCCGCTTTTGTTCATTTTCCTGTCATTAGCAGAAAACTCCCCCGGCACAGTTCGGCAAAGGGGGCATTTTGCACTTTCGCTGCTTCACTAGTTCGGGTACAAGTCTCACTCTGGTGAAACCTGTGAACTCTTGTGAAGCTGGAGCAAGCTCGTCGAGCCACCATGGTAAAACCTGTCAACTCTTGTAAGCTCATGAAATAGCTCTCTAGATGGCTCGACACGTCGATGGGAAGAAGCAGAAGTGCAAATGCCTCCCCCTGTCGCCGAACTGCCCCAATTTCCTCATCCATCTTTTCAGTGTGATCGTTTCTCAACGCTTTTCACGACCCTTTTCAATAGAGACTCCAGCTTTAGTCGGGATGTGACCAAAGTTTGTTCTAGTTATCCCTCGATGGCTTGGCACTGTTGTGTCCTACAGAAACATTCAAAGCAACAGCATCACCTACCCACATGGGACTAGTACGTAGTCCCGCGGAGTGTCTCCAGAACGACAATGGTCCACGGGACATGGGCTGTCTCGAAACCTTGCGTACACATATCGTTCAACTAAAGCATGAAATTTCAATGAATTCTTGAAAAATAGGGAATGTTGGAGTCACCAGGTTGCGAGATTCCATGAAGAACCTACTTGTTTTCGAGCAAACCCAGCACACCGACAGTGGCCTCGACTTCACCCATTTCTTCCAACAACTTGAGCACATGTAATGTCCACATTCTGCCAAAACTACCTAAAATTTACTAGTGAAGATCTATATACAGTCACAACTATAATGCCGATAGCAAATCACTATATCATTTGGCACTACTTCCCCATTCTTTCTCACCAGGAGAGGACGGTTTGTCGAAGTGGCCGTTTGAAATGTGATGTATACCTGGTGATGCGTATTTGGACACAGACTTCAAATCTGCTAAACTATTCTCTGAAAAGATTATGGAGGTAGTCGAGCAGACCACTGCTAGAGACCACCAATGCTCAGCAAATATCTAAATGATGCGTAAGCACACTAATCACGGATGGCGCAGTGAAGAAGACACCGGCCTTATGCTTGCAAGGTGAAGTGTTCGGATACTTCGTTAAAGGCAGTTGGCACGATGGTTTCCTACTTAGCCTAAAATGCTAGTAGGGCGCTGTATAGTGGGGAAATGGCGAAAGAACGGAGTGAAACGGTCAAAATCCTGCGAAGAAAAAGCCTTCAGTGACTTGTAAATCGATTTCGGACGAGTTTCCCGTAGGCATCGTTACCGAATCACCGTTTACGAAGAATACGATAAACGAGCGATTGGTTGTGGCATTTGACAGGGGCCCTTATCAGGCGCACTTCCCTACGGTTGGAAACAGAATATGCACGCGACTGCCAGGGGTTCGCGCGACTTCTATGACTGCCAGACGGAGGGCTCAGTTATATGATCCCTAGTCGTCTTGGGGGGATTTATCGTCGGCCAACTGCGTTTAATCGTCGTTTTTGCCATTCCTGTACTCAAAAATTGTTCCCTGCACAACTATCGAAGACGACTTTCGTCGGGGTTAGACTAACCTGATCTTACACGCAAAAAATTCTTACTGCTTGAAAAGCAATCGGAGCCATTCTGGAACATTCCTAAGACATTCCTGATCGCTGATTTTCGCAGCATTAGTCGTTGCGTTGTGTTGTGTCGCTAAACTGACTCCAAACGGCATGGAACCGCGTGAAAAACATCCGCGAATCATCAACCGTTCAGTAAACACGAGGACTGAGGCCCTTAGCGGCAAGCTCCACTGCCGCCCAGAGATGATCGGCAGATTTAGTGTCAGCGACCATTAGGAATTCGTTGCCCAGTGTTACCCCACTGCTTCGGAGATAGTTCGAAATCTCAGATTTGTTTGCAAACTTGCCTATATGGCTACTTTTAGCCCTAGAACAAGAATATTACTTCGAGGCCGTTACGGCGCCAGAAAAACCTTGCAAGGGCGGCGGTTTGCCTGCATCACCGTGCCCGTGAGGAGATGAAACAACAACCAGTTATCTTTTGGCATGAAAATATTACTGGTAGTGCGTCTTGCAGTAGCCACTCAGACCACTTCCTAAGATGTCGGGATTTCTAGCGAATCTGGAGTTCCGGTGTGCGCTTTGCACAGGTACATTTTGGGAAACGGGTGTAACCTGGTCACAATTGCTCCATAACTTTGGCAAGAAGCATTATTTAGCAGATATGGAGGACAGATTTGTAATCAGCGTCGAAGGACCATTGAAAAGTAGTGAGTTTTCAGAGCACCAGACCTAATGAAGCAGTATATCTCATTTCGAATCTCCACTTCGACTAACCATCCTTCCCTGGTCAGAAAAATCTTAAAAACGAAAATAATGGATCAATCATCATTTTGCATCATTTGTTTCTGAATCCTACCATACCTTTCCGTCTTGAAAGGGAAAGTTGAATCTAGGAGCTACGGCAGTGAAAAGAGAAACTCACTCTATCTTTTTCGTCCTCGTAACAGCTACTGCAATGCCGCGAATTTCGAGGAGAACCATTCAGGACATAGTCGAGGTACAAATCGGTCCCTCAGCACAACAAAATTCTCCTTAACAGATGTGCACGAATACGAAAACATAGTGCATAGTATTAAAAATTTTAGATTCTGCAATAAAGGAATGAAAGTACCTTCGCTGACTCTATAACAAGAGAAATCTTGATAGATGGGTCAAACTGAGTGCGAAGACAAGCAGGTCCAGTCCTTCCTGTCTTTCCCCAATCTGAAACAGCACAAGGATGTCTCCACATGTAGGCTTTGGTGGTGGATCGTATGAGCTCAGTCACATGGACTATTGAAGGCTTTAGTAATAACTAAAGATTAGAATGTACACCTGACTTCTACCCCTGACCCCAGACAAGGAGATGAGACAAGACAATCGGAGTCTGCCGCGCCACCATGTGCTTCAGCCGACCCCTCCCTCTCTCAACTGATCTTCTTTCGGCACCGGACTT